AATATCTGAATACTGTTTAGCTTTATTATAGACCAGGAATAAAAGTCTAGTGAAGATTCTTGGGGAGTCCTGGTGTGGTGCTGCAGAATAAGCACTGGACTGCTAACCACAAGGTCAATGAATCAAACACACCATGAAAACCCTATACAGGGTTGCTATGAGTTGGAACCGACTTGATAGCATTTAACAACAGCAACAACAACAACTAGGATAGCAAAACTTCCTTTTGCTTATTTTGGACACATCATTAGGAATGACCAATCACTAGAAAAAGACATCATGTTTGGTAAAGTAGAGAGGGTCACTGAAAACGAGGAAATGCTCAATGAGATGAATTAATACAATGGCCCCAACACTGGATTCAAAAGTTGCTGTGGTTCAATGTGTTAGGCTGCAAAGGTCAGTTTGAACCACAAGGTTGGTGGTTCAAGTTCACCAGCCACTCCTCGAAAATCCTATACAACCGTCACTATGAGTTAGAACTGACTCGATGGAACTTAACAACAACATGCATTAAGTTGGTGTCCTCATGTGGTGCTGTGGGATAAAGCACTGGACTGCAAGGTTGGTTTAAACCACAAGGTTGGTGATTCAAACTCACCAGTTGCTCCTTGGAAACCCTACACAGGGTCACTATAAGTTGGAACCAACTTGATGGTATTTAACAACAACAATACATTAGGTTGTCAACAGTTAGAGTTGTTTTAATGGCCACTAACAACAACCACCACAACAATAAACTTTCTATGAAGCGTCCCTGAATCTCTTCATCTTAAAACTTAAGTTTCATTGTAATTAAAAGGCAAAATGTAAGGTCTATCCCAATAGGGGCAAAATCGAATAGACCTCACCACCTCATTGACAGAGAAATTTCATCTAGTGAAAATCCTCATAACTTCCCATCAGCTTTCAAATCCCCCTCTCCCACCTCTGTTCCCAGTATAGTAGCTCTTAAGGCTAATGACTCCAGGATCCCCTCCCACCTTCTCCTACACACAATCTTTCACCTTCCCTTTACTCTCTTCTACTAATATTTAAAAGTGCAGGATTCTCCCATCTTAAAAATATATTTTAAAAAGCAGAAAGCAAAAATAACAACTCTATGATTTTCTAAAACTTTCTTCTTCATTTGCTGCCTCTATTCCTTTTCCTTTCATTCAGTCCTCAGCCCACTGCCATCTCCCTCTTCTTCCCTCATCACTTCAGGAGAGGCTAATTGACAGGTTAGTAACAGTCCAATGTTGTTGTTAGTTGTATTCTTGTCTATTCTGATTCATGGCAACCCCCTGTGTGCAGTGTAGAACTGACTATTGAGTTTTCAAGGCTGTGACTTTTCAGAAACAGAATATTATTATTTATTCAGAAGCTTTCCTTCTGAGGCTTTTCTGGGTGGGTTTGGACCCTGGATTAACATAGTATTGATTAACAATTTGTACTACTCAGGGAACCAACAGTCCAATAGACATTTCTTTCACCTGATGTATTGGTAGTATTTGAATGATAATCTCTCTTTTTGACTTAAAATGCTTTCTTATCCTAAATTAAGGCTAGACATGACCTTGTTTCCCTCCTGCTTCTCTAGATACTCCTTTAGCCTTCATCTTGGTAAATGCCACTGTTATTCTCCATTCATGTACTGCCATGGAGTCACTTGTGAACTTCTTTTCCCACTGCCTACCTCCTCCAGGCTCCATCTTCAATGTTAATTTAGAATCAACCCTTCTTGATATTTCTCTGTTAGCACCCTGATCCCATCCCCACCTGGGACACTACAGTAGGTTCCTTGCTGGCCTTCCTAACTGCCTCCCATCCCCCTACCCCATCACCACACATAATAGGAGTGATCCTGTTACACCCTCCAGGTGTAGTTCCCTGATCATTCTTAGATATCAAGTTACCTGTCACCTCCCTGCAAACTCTTCCTTAACTCCCACACTTGGGTAGGAGTCCCTCCTAATTTGTTTCAGAAACACCTGACTATTCCTTCCAAGAGCATTTGTTCCACTGTGTCATAACTTCTCTGTCCCCAAGAGCAGCGTGAGCTCTGTGAGACCTGGGACCGAGTCTGTCTGCTGAATCATCCTGAGTAGCTTGACACCTAATGAATATTCCACAAATAACTGGAGCATGTACTTCTTGCTTCGGCCCACCCCCACCCCCAACTGTCCCATCATATTACTACTAGACTTATCATATTAAAGGGTCATGTAACAAAATCCAATAAAGGGAAAGCAAATTGTTGCTGTTGTTAGGTGCCATCGAGTCAGTACGGACTCATAGTTACCTTGGCACAACAGTATGAAATACTGGCCACTCTTGGGCCAACCTCACAATTGTTGCCACTCTTGAGCCCGTCGATGCTGCCACTTTGCCAATGTATCTCCTTGGGGGTCTTCCTCTTTTTCTCTGACTCTCCACCTTACCAAACATGATATCCTTCTCTAGTGACTGGTCCCTCTTGACAATATATCTGAAGTATGGCCATCCGGGCCTCCAAGGAGCACTCAGGCTATACTTCTTCCACCACAGATCTGTTTGTTCTTTTGGCAGCCCATGGCACTTTCAATATTCTCCTCCAACACCATAACTCAAATGTACCAATTCTTCTACAATCTTCCTTATTGACTGTCCAGCTTTCGCATGCATATGAGGTTATTGAAAATACCATGGCTTGGGTCAGGCACACCTTTGCTCTTCAACACTTTAAAAAGGTCTTGTGCAGCAGATTTGCCTAATGCAATATGTCGTCGTTTGGTTTCTTGACTGCTGCTTCTATGAGTGTCGGTGGTTGATCCAAGAAGAATGAAGTCCTTGACAACTTTTCTTTTCTCCATTGATAAGAATGTTGTTTATTGGTCCACTGCTGAGAATTTTTGTTTTCTTTACATTGAGATGCAATCCATATGGAATGCTGTGCTCCTTGATCTTCATCAGTAAAAGTTTTAAGTCCTTTTCACATTCAGCAAGCAAGTTGTTAATGAGACAAGCAGATTGTTAATGAGTCTTCCTCCAATCCTGATACCACCTTTTTCTTCATAGAACCCAGCTTCTCAGATTATTTTCTCAGCATACAGGTTAAATAAGTATGGTGCACACTTTTCTTAATTTAAAAACATTCAGTGTTCCCGTGTTTTGTTTGAACAACTACCTCTCTGTCCAGGTACAGATTCCTCATGAGCACAATTAAGTGTTGAGAATACTCATACTTCACAACGTTGTCCATAGCTTGTCATGATCCACACAATTGAAAGCCTTTACCTAGTCAATAAAGCACAGGTAAACATCTTTTTGGTATTCTCTGCTTTCAGCCCTCATTCCATGTTCTCTTCTGAATCTGGCTTGAACCTCTGGAAGTTCTCTGTCAATGTATGCTTTCAGCTGTTTCTGTATTACCTACAGTAAAACTTGACACGCATGGAATATCAAAGAGATTGTCCGATGATTTCCGCATTCCGTTGGGTCACCTCTCTATGGAATGGGCATAAATATGAGTTTCTTCCAATCAGTTGGCCAGATAGTTGTCTTCCAAATTTCTTGGCATAGATGACTGAGTGCCTCCAGTGCAGCCTCACTTTGTTGAAAGATTTTAATTGTTATTCCATCAATTCCTGGTGCCTTTTTCTTTGCCAATTCCTTCCATGCACCTTGTACTTCATATCAAGGTCAAGAGGTACAATGCTGTCTGTAATAGAATAATATCCATGCGCCTACAGAGAAGACCAGTTAATACCACTGTTATTCAAATTTATGCACCAACCACTAAAGCCAGTGAGGATGAAATAGAAGAATTCTACCATCTTCTTCAATCTGAAGTTGATCAAACGTGCAATCAAGATGTATTGATCATTACCAGTGATTGGAATGCAAAGGTTGGGAGCAAAGAGGAAGGATCAGTAGTTGGAAAATATGTCCTTGGTGATAGAAATGATGCTGGAGATTGCATGATAGAATTCTGCAAAACCAATGATTTGGTCATTTTAAATACCTTCTTTAGATAGCATAAGAGACGATTATACACATGGACCTCACCAGATTGAATACACAGAAATCAAATTGACTACATCTGTGGAAAGAGATGATGGAAAAGCATCATCAGCCAGAAGCAAGGCCAGGGGCAGATTGTGGAACAGACCATCAATTGCTCATATGCAAATTCAGACTGAAACTGAAGAAAATGAAAACTAGTCCATGAGAGTCAAAATATGACCTTGAATATATCCCACCTGAATTTAAAAATCATCTCAAGAACAGATTTGACAGATTAAACACTAATGACTGAAGAAGATCAGATTTGTGGGATGACATCAGGAACATCATACAGGAAGAAAGCAAAAAGTCATTAAGAAGACAAGAAAGAAGGAAAAGTTCAAAATAGATGTCAGAAGAGACACCGAAACTTGCTCACCAGAGTAGAGATGCTAAAGCAAATGGAAGAAATGAGGAGGCACAAAAGTTGAACAGAAAATTTCAAAGGTGAATTGGAGAAGACACAGTCAAATATTACAACGGAATGTGCGAAGATGTGGAGTCTGAAAACCATAAGGGAAAGCAAATTGAAGTTCTGAAAATTATATTGATTATTGAAAGAAATCTAGAAGTGAATAGTAAATATCCCCAAGTTTTGTAGTTTACATTACAGGAAAATGTTGGCCGGCAGCAAAAATGAAACTTAGTGATTGCAGAAGTCTGACTTAGGTGAGGGACAGTGCCTTGAGCAGGAACGTGTCGTCCGAGGTCTGGGACCTTGGTGAACCAAGTTCGATATCTGGAGTGATTGGTCAGCCTCAAAGGGTTATAATCCACCTTTCCTGTGGGCGCGACATGCACGTGGTGAACTGGGGTGACTAATCCAACCTCTGGGCAGCTGTTTCTAGCCAGAGGCAGAAACTAAGTCCGGGGATGGGTTTTCCGGGAATCGAAAGCGAAAGAGGCAACAACGTTAACGTCCCGAGTAAGGGCGGGAGCGGTAGTCTGACCCAGACGAGCGAGCAGGGCAGAGGATGGCTGAGCCCGACTCCTTCCCGCTGTTGGTCAAGGGATCCTGGGGCCTTGACCCCCCGAAGAACCTGCGCAACAAGTTGCATGTGTATTTCCAGAGCTCGAAGAAGTCGGGAGGCGGAGATTGTGTGGTCCGCGCGGAGCCCGGGAACCAGTCCCACTTCCTGGTGATCTTCTCAAGGGAGAACGGTGAGGGGCGCCCGGGGCCCGACTAGTGCGAGGGTGGGTGCGGAGGGGGTGACATGGCTCTTGCCCAGGCGAACCTTGGGATGGGGGCACGAGGCGGGAGAATCCGCCCGGCTCTTACCACAGCGGTAGAGGAGGGCGCGGGACCCTGGGCTCTGCAGTGCCCCCGGCGCAGCCCTTTCTGAGTTTGCCGCTCGGCCTGGAGGTGGCGCCAGAGCCGCCTGGTGAGTGTCTTCCTCCGGAGGCTCGGAGCATCCCCAGGGAGTGTGTGTCGGGGTCGGCCTGTCAGCCTCGCTCTGGTGGCAGCGCCTGGGCCTGGCGAACACGGTTTGTGGACTAACCCAAGTTCACTCGGCTTTTGTTTTTTCTGCCTTACTTTTTCCACCTATTTGCTTTTCCTGGTTATTTTTAGGTAAAGAAAGAAACCAAAAATCCCAAGGGGTTAAGAAAGGGATTTCCCATGGGTTATGGAGACAATCGTGGTGAGGTTGGCCCAGGATCGGGCAGTGTTTCGTTCTGCTGTGGGTTGGTACCTACTCGATGGCACCTAAAACAACAACAACATGGAGATTCTAGTGGTTCTGGGGCCATTTGGGAGAGGTTCCAAAGCACATTGGGTGTAAATATAGTAGTGGCTTGGGCTTTTTATTGGAAGAGGATGATGGCAGCTTTGCTGTTGATCAACACACAGTATCTGTTGAGTGCCTCTTCCTTCATTCTCAAGGTGGCTCCAAAATTAGTAAACCATGGTGACATTCTGAGTTGATCTGAACCGATTGTGGATTGGGGTTTTTAAGTTTCTGGCGAAAATTTCCTCCTCGCAGCAGTTCAGTGGCTGAGTTCTCACGGTGTCTCCTTTAACGATTTCATTCACAGGGGCCAGGACAAGAGCCCACTGATTATCTACTTGCTCAAAACACCAAATGGGGGG